CAGTAGGAATTCCTACAGATGCTCTGGTGTGTTCTGAGGGACTGAACCTGATTTTATTTGGGGGAAAAAAAAAAATAAAAAAGGCTTAATTGCTGCATAAAAACCAAAGGCTGGTAAGGCTCGATGCACTTAATTTGTGGCTGTCAGATTTGCTGGATTCTAAGCAAACTTGAGACTGTTTTTCCCTTCCCCAGGCTAAAAGTGCCTTCAAAATAAGAAAATAATGGCTGAGGGTAGTGAATTGCCACTTCTTTTGACAGGGTATTAGCTGTGAAACTTGACTCTGGCACTAAGTACACACGATTAAGGTGATTGGGAGTAAAAGAACCTGTAAGAAACACTCAGCTGATGGCCTTGTCTTTAATTCTCCAGTTGTTTCCGATGTTGTGTCCCGGTGAGCTACAAAGAAATGGGAAACCGAAAACGTAGGAGCATAGCACTGTATTTGGTAGTGAATATATAGATATATTTAATAACACCTCCAGCCTTTCTGCCAAGTGTTAATGTTGCAGAGCCCCATCAGCTATGTTGGTCTTCTGCAGGTTGTGATTCTGATTCTGGCAGTAAATTTTCATAAGCAGTTGTTTTAAGTATATCTGACATTTTGTTTAAAGTACATCTGCCAGCAGGCTCAGTCCCCCCCCCCTTCCTTCTTTTTCAAAACCTTAATAGCCTCTTCCAAGTTTTTAACTCTGGAGCACCACTGAAAGAGGCTTTGAGAAGTTGCTGTTTGGGAACTGGAGTCAGAAACAGGCACAGGTGACTGGCAAACCCACGTTTTATGAGGGGTAGTGCTAACTTCATGGAGATGGCTTGTTTATATATTAGTGAAATAATTTTGGGGGGGAAAAATAATGCAGAACTGTCTTTTTTTTCCTGGTGTTGGTTGAGTGAAAGAGTCTGCTTGGAATGGGATGGGCAAACGTGGCCCGGGCTCTGGTTGTTCTTCACTTGCCCAGGTGTTGAATGGCCTCAAAGCTGCTGAAAAATTAGGGATGTTTAGCGAGTTGACATCCTGAACTGGTGGGTTGAGGTGCCTGAGGGCACTCGCAGCATATTTGGGTGCTGACAGATTGGGAATTGGGTGAGGGCAGAGCTGCTGCTGAGGGGGACAGTGCAGGGCTGGGGGATGGAGCAATAGGGAGGGACACCAAGTTCAGTGCAGTGAGGACGGGCTGTCCTTGAGGAGGAGGAGGAATCCCCTGCCAAAGCCACCTCCAGTGCAAACCCCAGCCAAAGGCCCCTCTTTCCCTCCCTGACCCTTTTCTGGCCCCAGCAGGACACGTTCAGGTACCACAAAAGCTCCTCCCAGGGCCCTCCTGCCCCTGTCCCCTTATCTGCTACCTCCTTGCACAGGCAAGGGCAGGACCCTTTGAGCTCTGGGAGCAGGAGGGATGGCATCTGTTGGCTCTTGATTGCTGCCTTGTCCTCCCACTGACCTTTATAGATTGTGGTTTTTTTATATATGTATATGTAATTTTTATTTATTTAGGTTTTTTATTTTTAGTATAATCATGGTGTGATTCATGGGGATGATCCTGTGCAGGGTCAGGGGTTGGATTGGAGGATCCTTTGTGGGTCCCTTCCAACTCATCAGATTCTGACAAAGATATAAATATTATAAATATATATGTATATAATATATAATGTTTTAATATTTTGTATTATGTGTTTGTAAGTGTACATATTTATATCATAATTTTGTGTTCATACATTCAGATATATTTATGCATTCACTTATGTTTGCATGTATATTGCTTGCACATTTGCATGTGTTTTTATATACATTTATAATTACACATACCTGTAGCTACCTGTAGATGCCTATATATACATATATCTTCGTGTACTTACATATCAATACATGTGATATATATCAATATATAAATATTGATATTACTTAGTTCAATATTATCAAAATATATATAGAAATAGACACAAGTATAACAATATATAGAGAAATATACTTACTTACAAATAGTTGTATAGATTGATATGTGTATTTCTATTTGTGTGTTCATTTCTATTTGTATTTACAACATGTGTGTGCAGGGGGTGGGTCCCTGTGCTGGGGGGGCTGTAGGCTGGTTCTTGGGAAGCTGTTTGGCAACAGAACTTCCCTCTTCCCTTCTCTTTTCCCCTTTGGAAGTCCCTGTGGACTCCAAGGACCCTGCTCTCCGTCAGGTGCTTTTTCCACCTGTAAAAACTCCTTAGAAAACCAGTAGCAGTGTGGGGCTTTGAAGGGTCTGTGTCTCCCTAAAAACCTGTTTACTCTGCAGACCACTCAATCCATGAGAATTTAAATTGTTTTCTTGGAGCCACTGGGGATATTCAGGGGTATCTTAGAGCGTTGCTTTTTCTTTAAAGCAGTGACTATTTTTGTATCCAACAGCCTGGTTTATTTTTGCTTGAAGGCAGGAAGATCTAGGTTTGTTTTATGTTGGGGCTTTTTTAAGAATTTTAGAAATCATCTGAGGGCTGGAGTCTGAAATCTCTAAGGAACTTCTTTTGCTTACCCAAGTACCAGGAGAAGAGGGAAAGGCCTCATGTAGTGCCAGGGGAGGGTTAGGTTGGATATAAGGGGTATTTTCCTCCCCCAAAGGGTTGTCCTGCCCAGGGCAGGGGTGGAGTCCCCATGCCTGTGTGGATGTGGCACTTGGGGTCTTGGGTCAGTGGTGGCCTTGGTTGTCCCTGGCTGGACTCCATCACCTTTTCCAACCTGAGTGATTCCATCAGCTATTACACTCAAAAAAAATGAACCCTCCTAAAAACCACTGTGAGACCTTCAGCTGTGTGACTCGATTTCATAACTGCAAAACAAACCAGCAAAACATCTTGGGTTTGGGTTGTTTGGTTTTTTTTTTTTTTCCCCCCCAGGATTTGCAATGGGGTTAAATGTCACCAGTGGGAGCTGTTCTGAAAGTTCCCAGGGTGGTAAATGCTCCTCATACCCGGGCAGGATGTTGCAAGAAACTGAGCCAACGGGCTTCCAAACTCCAACTTGGAGTAAAAAAAGTCAAGCTGGGAAGAGTAAAAGCAGTAGGGATTGTGGCAGGTTGGGATCAGGGCTGTCTGGAGGTCAAACTTCTAATGCTACTGGATGTGTAACCCAGAGCATGACACTAATCAGCAGCACGTCTGAACTCACGCCAGGTCTTTTAAAATGCCTTCTTTCTGCTGGCCCAGGACTTTCAGATCATCTGTGGAAAGATGGGAGGTTTTCACTTGTAATTTTATTTTTTTTTTCCCCCTCTTCTTTTTATCAAACTTTAGCTTAACTGAGGAAATTAAAATGTTATTTGGGTGCTGCTGTTTTGGCTGGCTCATTTTTATTCCTTAAGAAACAAATCAAATAGCTTCAATCAAAAATGCTTTTTAATCTCTTTGTAAAATAAACCTTTGTGCTTTGTTGCTCCAGGGACGTCTTGCCTCAGTTTTGCAAAGCTCCATAAACTCTGGAATGTACAGTTTTTTATTCTGTGTTTTTTTGCAGGGAAGCAATGCAGCGTATCCTGAAAAGGTATCAAAGATGCCGTGTAATTTAATAACCTGATTTTTTTTTAAAGCAAAACCATGTAGTATGATAGTGTGAAATGAGGTTTTTCGTTACTTAGGCTCTTTTTCCAGGTCAGTCATTTGTTTTCTGCTTGGCTGCCTGGGAGCAACTAAAAGAGGAACCTTCACTCCTGTGGTCTAATATTTGTTGTGCCCCATTGTTTTGGTTTCTTTTTAGGCCTGGCTTTAGCTGTGTTGCCAGCAGTGTTTTGCTTTAGTTGCTGAGCCATCCAAGAGCATGGACAGCAATACCTTTTATTTTAAGGCACAAAGGAACGAAGATTTATCTTAAATTCCCGTGTCTGGTGTTCAGGATCTGTTACCGAGCTGCGGGAATAATTTCAGATTTTCCAGCGAGCTTTACTGGGTGGTTTTGTTGGGTTTTTTTTTTTGGTTTTTTTTTTTTTTTTGGTTTTTTTTCCTGGAGAGTGTGTGTAGCTGCTATCTCCGTGCCTTTCCCAGCATTTCCCCAGCCCTCCTGAAGGAGCTGTGTGCCCTGGTGCTGCTGGAGCTGGCTGACCTCTACTTTAAATGTCAGGGGTGCTTCACCCTCGCCCTGCAGATTCCACTGGCCTTTTTTTTAACCCTTCCTTGGGACCCTGCTTTGGAGAAGCACTTGTGCCACCTGAGCTGTGTTTTATACTTCTGGAGTTGGGTTTTTTTTTTCCAGCTGTGTATCCACTGAGTCCTCCTACACTGTGTTTACAGGATCTGGGAAGTGTTTTGTCCCACCTGGGTGTGGGTTTCCCGGTGAGCGAGTGAATTCAAGATGGGTTGAATAAATACAAAGAACAGGTAGTTGGGTGTGTGCAACGTGCAGTTTGTACACTTGGAAGTTTTTAGCTCTTGTGGAAGTTTAGGGGAAGCCTGAATGAACAGGGGGATCGCTCTGGATGGGAATCCAGCCTCTGTTACACTTTGTGTGGAGCTGGATGGGGCTGGGTGGAAGGTGTCCCTGTTCGTGGCACAAGGGTAGAATGGATGATCCTTAAATTCCCTCCCAGCCCAAACGATCCTGGGATTCCATGCTTTTACTGTGCCTCTTTACAGACCTTTCCTGTGGGTGGGGAGGAAGGAAACATTGCTCTGCAGTTGAGATTTGTCTGTCTTCCAGCAGCGCAGATGAATGATGGATTTGTGTTACCCGCCTTGGAAAAACCGGTTCCAAAGTCTCTGTGCTCGCCACTCACGGGCTTTGTGTGTCTGGAAGGTGTATTAATGGACAGGCAAACATATCAGTTTCCAGAGCAAGAGCTCTGGAATCCATTTTTAATAAGGATGAGATGGGAAAGAAGATAAAAGTGAGTTGAGTGAAGGCCGGTTGGTGCGCAGGCATTTTATAGGATAGGACAAACTTGCACTTGGAATTGCCTAAAACCAATAAGTGCGTGTAGTTCAGTTCCTGATTTCAAGCACTAAATGAAGGCCTTAATCCTCTTTTGCAGAACCAAAAGACAAAGGAGCAGATCGAGAGCTTGCTGCAGGATGGGAAGCACAAGGAGCTGCGGGAGCGCCTGTGCTGCCGGCTGAGCTTCGGCACCGCCGGGCTCCGCTCGGCCATGGGAGCGGGGTTCTGCTACATCAACGACCTCACCGTGATCCAGTCCACACAGGTGAGCTGGGACAGGGCTCAGTGGCTCCCCAGCAAGGCTTTGGTCCCAGTGTTCCACTGGAACACGAGCAGAGGCTGGAGTGCAGCAGCAGCTCAACAGCAGGGGTGGGTTGCTGTGAAGTGTTTAGCGCTGAAAGGGAATAAAGTACCATGAGGAGGTTTAACTGCACATTCTAGGAGGCAGAATGGAATCACCTCCACTGGAATCTGGCCAGTAGTTAGTCTGCTTAACTGCTCTGTAGCTGGGAGTCATTAGCTGTCATGTTTTTAAAAACTGAACGGAAAAAAAAAAAAAAAGGCAACCCCGAAAAGCAAAGCCCACCCCCCCAACAAACCTTTTCTTTCATTTTTAGCCCCAGTTGACAATAACCACCCAAAAATAGTAGATTTTACTGAACAAATAGAGAGGAATTAAGATGAGGAAGCAAAGTAGGCTGACTGAAGATCTGTGTTGGGAATTGTTTAGCTTTTGGGGAATCTCTCCAATATCACTGGTTATGTTTCTCATCAGCTGGATTAGGTAGTTGTTGGTGAAGTGGCCTGGTGTTACCATAGCTCTGTCTGTGGCTCTTTCTACTTTTTTTTTTTTTTTTTTAAGTAGACAGGAAAGTAATTTGAGATATGAATTTTAAAGGTCTCAAACTACAAATCTAGTGTCACATGTTGGGTCAGAGGTGTCAGTGATTCCTGGTTCGTCTGGGACTTAATGTTTGTGCATTGGGTTACAGATACCATGGAATTATTTCTTTTTTCCAGGAAAACGTTGTCCTGTGATCTCTCTGAGGACTAGGTCTTTGGAGTGTTGAGTATTTTGGGATGGATTTCTTGATTTGAGTAGACAGGGAGATCTTGGATTAAGGGGGGGGAGAAAAAAAACGGTTCAAAAATTCTGATTCTTGTCACCCAGGGATGAAATGGTTAAAAGTAGCTGGGTTGGTTTGAGCAAGTCCACTTTGCTTTGAAGCAGAGTAAACCTCTTAGTCCTGCAGAGGAAGTTTACAAGAGTCCTGTTACTCCTTGGCCTGTGCAGCCTGTTGGATTTGGAGCTCATGGTGCCTTTGCGCTCCCGGGAGTGTGGCTCTGCTGACTGAGCCACCTTCTTGGCAGAAGGGGAGAAGTTTCCCCTCTGCCTGGCAGGGAATGTGAGGGCAAGCTCAGTTTTCATGGGAATTACTGCTTTTTGAGAGCAGCAAACCGGGTCTGTGTCTGTTCACTCCCTCTGTGGAGCTGCTATTTTTAGTTGTTTATTGAAGCCAGATATCGAGTTAGGAAAGGCAGCCTCTGGGAAGTGGATTAGAATTTGCTTTTGAAGTAAACTGTGTCGGGTTTAATCTTTGTTTGAGCACTCTGTGTCAGAAGTTAACAGCAGGAACAGTTTTGCTGAGCTTAACCTGGAAATGGGCAGCCCTGTCTCCCTGTCTTTGTCTTCACCTGGGACAGGGATAAAGGGCCGAACAGCAGACTTGAGTATAATTAACATTTCCTTCAATTAAAAGGAACTGTAGTGAATTCACACCCTTAATCACATGCTGTGCTCTCCGTTTGATCTGATTTTTTTGTTTTCATTTGATCTTGAATTGCTTATACTATTATGAAAAGTCAGGTCCAGGAAGGTACAGAATATCCAGCAGCTGCTTTGGACTCTCCTGAGGACTGTAGGTACTTAACCTGCATCTAAAGCCCTAATTTTCCTGCTCAAGTATTGCTGCTTTTGTGCTTTTTTAATAATGCCCAAATGGTTTTATTAATGGGTAAGAAACCCTCCACAGTGGCAAAACCACCTTTGCACAAGGAGTAAACAGCAAACTTGAGGGTAATAGTTGAAAAACTCTATAAATACAGGATTTCATGAAGCTGTTTGTAGCTCTCTTGGTTTCACCAACCAAAAATCTTTCCATCTTAGTGATACAATCACTTTTCCCCTCACTTCTCCTTTGCATTTGAGCACAGGGGGCTGGGCTTGCAGGAGGATAAATAGACACCTGGCTGTAGGTGCACAGCTGTTGTTCTCCGTGGATTTTATATCTGGAAATCACCTGAGCTGTGCAGTGGGATGGGGAATTGTGATACTCCAGTGCATTTTGGCTTAGATCTGTGGGGGGGGTTCCACATTTGTGTGCTGACACTTGCTAGTAAGTCATTATCACCTCAAGATACTCATAATTTTCATCTAGAAGTATCAGGAACTTAATAGCAAGGGACACTTAAAAGGAAGCAGAAATTCTTTAAATTGAGAAATTTATTCAGGAGAGGACTTAGCCCAGAACTGTTGGAGTTCCTCAGTGCCCTCAGGGAAAGGGGAGGATGGTGTGAACTCAAGTGGAGGATTCAGACAATGGAGAGACTCTTCACTCACTTCCTCTCACTGACATTTACTTATTTACTTTTATTTCCTTCAGCTTTAAGAGATGTGTTTGGATTGTTCTGTCTCAGCTCGATCTGTGCTGCTTCTGAGTAGTTTATATGCCCTTGTTTGCTGTTTCTAACTAGGACCAGTTCGTCTAAAATTCTGCTGAATTGTCTTTTTATGCAGTTCTTGATGTTTGAGGGGCTAGTTCAGACAAAACCCTGCATTGTGCTCTGACATCCAGGTACTGGGAGCCTAAACAAGGGATCTGTTGATAAGAAATGTGCTGTTCATTTCTCTTGACATTATTCAGAGTGTTCAACTCAAACTTGAACATTTTTTTTTTTCCCCCATTCCTGTGTGTGACTTGGGCTGGTGATTGTGTCGTAGCCCAACTTGCACCCTGTGAAAGGCAGCATTTTCAGGGTTAAGTTCCCGGTGCTGTTGTCTGGCTGTTGGGAACTCTGGAAACTTCCACTGACAATAGTGCTTCCATCTTTTTATCTGAAAACTGCTGATCTGCCCTGGGTTGTTTCTGTGATGGATCTCCAGAGAGACTCTGACTGGGAGGTGAATGGATGTGAAGGCCACAGGGGGAGGTGAAACTGCAGCACAAGATCTTTGAAAGTCCCTTCCAGTGTAAACCATTCCATGATTTTCAGGCAAATTTAGGACTGGCACTTTGGGAAACGGTGTTGAAAAGGTGTCTGACTTGTGCTGTGAGCTCAAGGATGAGGACTTGACTGGCACAAACCTTGTATTGGCTGAGTGGATGGACTCCCAAAAAATGTTTTTTTTTTTTTTTTTGTTAATTGAAAAGATATTTTGAATAACTAAAAGCACAGTATGAATTGAAAACAAGTGTCTGCTGCCTGAGGATTTATTGTTGTACCACTTTTATTTCTCTCAGCTGTGAGAAATTATTTCTCTGGTTGCTTTCTTTGAGTGAACACTGGGGGGAAAAAAAAAATCACTCTGCTTGCTTTTGTGAACTCCATTATTGAGGGTTTTGAGCTGTATTTTGCCTGCTGATGTTATCCATCCTCTGTGAAAGATCACTTTTAATGTTTGTGTGCTAATTCTTATTTTTCCCTTGTTTGTTTTTGTTTTTCCTTTCTCTTTCCAGGGGATCTACAAGTATCTTGAGAGGAATTTTTCAGACTTTAAGCAGAGAGGCTTTGTTGTTGGATATGACACACGAGGTCAGGTCACCAGCAACTGCAGCAGTAAGAAGTATGAGTATTGATTACATTTGCAAGACTAGAAATGAAACTGTGGCTTTGAATGCTTTCTGTTCTGTCAGCATTTTTTGTGATGAACTGGGCACTCTCTTCCCCCTCCTTTAGTCCATGTAAATAGTAGGGAAGAGAGGCTTGGAAATAAATTCTTTTATGGTACCAGTTGGCCAGAAATGTGGAGTGTGAGGCTGGTCACTCCAAAGAATTTGCAGGTTTAAGTGCACGAGAACGTGAGGCAGATGTTGAGAAGTTGATATGCCTGGAGAAAAATTTGAATATGAAGGTAAATTCAGAATATTAACACTTTAGCTTGAAACCTCTAAGTGTTAATGAGCTTCTAACACTGTCATCCTGTTGTATTTTGCACCTGATTTAAGCTTGTTTGGGGGAGAAAAATTCCCCCTGCAGCCTCCTGTAACCTGGTGTATTTTCACTTTGGGAATATTTGACCTGGAATGCTTCAAGTTTAAATTTCAGTGATGCCAGATTGTGCCCTCTGTAGCAAAAGGGCAGAGAACTTTCTGAATTCTGTGAGGAATCTTAATCCCCTGTCATTCCAGGAGCAAAAAACACGTGGTAGTGCCATTCCTTACAATCACCCAACCTAATTAGCTAGCTAATTAGTGTTTATGTAACGAGTAGTTAGTTACAGCAATTAACTGCAATAATTAACCGAGTTGTTTCTCTTTTTTTTTTTTTTTTAATATTCTCTTTGTCAGCACTGAATTATTTTAGGGATGTGGAAGTTCTTGGTGTGACAGAGCACAGAGTCTTGTGACTGTCTGCCAAGAGTTTCTCCTTTCCCTCGGGCCTTGATGTGTGTGGCCCATCAACCACCAGGCTTTGGGATAAGGGGCTTAAACTCATCTGTGTGGGATACAGAATCCTTTCCCAAACCTGCTGTTGCAGACACCTGGTCCTTCAGACTTTCTGGGAAGTGGAAGGACAAGTGTCCCTCCAGTAGGTTCTGTATCTCTGTGTTTGGTATCACTGGTTGATTTGGGTGATGGACTGAAGATTAAGCCAAAAACAGCAATGGAGGGATTGGAGGGACAATTGTCTGAAGGTGACAGGAATGCCATCAGCGTTACTGGATCGCTGTGGGTGGGGTTTGGATTGACTGAATGTTTTGGTTTTCCCGTTGTCAGGCTTGCCAAGCTCACTGCAGCAGTGCTGCTGGCCAAAGATGTCCCTGTGTACTTCTTCTCTACCTATGTCCCCACACCCTTTGTGGTGAGTCACCTTCTCTTCCATGTTTGAGTTTGCTAAAACAAAAAAAAAAAAGGCACGTGAACCAGCCGTTTTCCTCGTGAATTGTTGTTTAAACAGGAAAACAGAGGCTGCTCAGTGTACTTGGCCCTTTGAGGAAGCTATAAAAATATCACTGAATTCTTCTGTGCCTCTGTGCTTTTGATATCTCAGAAACAAAGCTTTCTCTTCTAGTCACAGCAGCTTTTCCTTGCAGGGTTTTTAAAATCCTCATTCCTGTTCCACAAGGTACGGATCTTGTTTTGAGGGGAGGACTGAAGTGCTGGGAATACCTTTTCATTTGTTTTTCAAGCTTTTTGGTGAATTTCTTCGTTCTGCTTCAGCCTGTTTGTTTCTCTGAAGTGCTCATGTAATCTGAGTACAGATTTCAGTTGGCCAGTTAACTGTTGCATTTGTGTAACTGATAAAAATCATTTTTTATGCAGCAGAACGGGACAAACTTTATTTCTTACTGGCTACAGGAGACAGAATGATGGGTGTTCACTTAGACATTTTTCAGAGATGCTGGTGCGACACGAAAAGCCACTTGTGTAGCATCCTGTTGCATGACTGTCCTAATGTGATGTGTGGCAGAACACTCTTGGGTAAATGGACATTTTTTTGGGTTTCCTTTGTAGCCCTACGCTGTGCAGCAGCTCGGGGCTGTGGCTGGAGTGATGATCACAGCATCCCACAACAGGAAGGAGGACAATGGATACAAGGTAAAGCTGGTCAAGTTCCAGTAGTATCACATTAGAGGATGAATTATTTCAAATAATTCATCCTTCTATAAGCTGAATTACTCTCCTGCAACAAGAAAATGAGACCACACTGGCTGTGTGTGGGGAGCACAAACCTGTTGGGATGTTCCAGGAAGCCTGATCAGCAGCTGAAGAAATGCTTCAGCAACTTGTCTTGGCTTCTTAGACATAAAAATTATCAGTTCTGGACAATTTGAACCAAATATGACCAAGTGACAAGAAAACAGAGGCAGATTCTCTGAGCAGAAAGTCTTGCACTGTGAGCTCAACCAAGTGTGGGGAAACTGGCATCTGAATAATTCTTCAACAAAGACCTTTTTTTATAGTCCAGGGTTTGGTGGTGTTCCCAGCTGAAAGATTACAGTTGTTCAGCCATGGAAAAACACATTCCTTGGCACTCTGCTTATCTCTCCTGCTCTGGGTTCAAAAACAAGTTGTGTTTCTTTTTCCAAAGGAATGCCAGGCCATGGAGAAGGTGACATTTTTTTTCTGTTACAGTCTGTGCAACCATCTCAGGTGTAAATGCCCAGCTCTGGTTTCTCACACCCTGATATTTCAGTCATAGTAGTTAAATTCCAGCCTTGTTTTTTTTTTAAAACAGGTGGTTTTGCTGGGTGGTTTTATCATTATCTAACTGAAATAATGAACTCAAAAGTTCATTTTGAGAGTTTTCCAAGTGGCTTTTGAGAATCAAGCCAGTCAGATGCTGAATTTTCAATGTCACTTGAAAAAGCAGAAAGTATGTGGAGTCCTGTAATTAAAGGAATTCATCAAGTTAATAATCTTTTGTAAATAAACTGTCTTGTTGTCCTTCAACTTCCATCAGGTTTACTGGGAAAACGGAGCACAGATCACTTCTCCACATGACAAGGAAATCATAAAATGTATAGAAGAGTGTGTTGAACCATGGAATGGCTCTTGGAATGAAAATCTGGTGGACACCAGTCCCCTTAGGCAGGATCCTCTGAAGAAAATCTGTGACTGCTACATGGAGGACCTGAAAAAGATCTGTTATCATAGGTACTGTAGAAAGCAAAATGTGCTTAAATCATGTTCTTAAGTAAGCTTCGGGCTGTACGTGGAAAAACTGATTGCAGGCAGACTTCAGTGTCTTCTCTGTCAGTAAATTTAGTAAAATCACCATCCTTAGGATTAAACCATTTTGCTGAAGATAAAGGCCAAACTGTTTCATGTGAAGGGATATGCTCCAAGAGTCCTGAGTAAAATGCAGAAATTCAGAGTACAGGTGTGGTGTGGGAGTATGAAATAGAGGTGAGGAAACTCACGTTTGGGTGAGGCAGAAAAGGGGGAGGACAAGTGACGTATAGGCTGAGTAGAACCAGAGTAACATCTCTAAGGTGGTGGAGGAGCTCGAGTTTGATGTAGAAATCAGCAGTTCATTCTTGGGAGACTTTCATCCAATTCAGCAGAAGGTAAACACTTGGTTTTCCAGGAGAAGCTTTAAACCAGCTATTTCTAGTGCAAGCCCAAATAAGCACTTTACACTCCTTCCATCTTTTGAAATTAAAGCAGAAAGCAGCAGAGTACAGTACACAGTGGGATTGCATTTTTTTTTCTCTCCCTGTGAAAACAGACCAAAAACTTACAGAAATGTTGTTTTCCTCCTCAGGGAGCTAAATATGCAAACGAGTTTGAAGTTTGTTCACACCTCTTTCCATGGAGTGGGACATGACTACGTGCAGTTGGCTTTCCAAGCCTTTGGCTTCCAGCCCCCCATCCCAGTACCCGAGCAAAAAGATCCAGACCCAGACTTCTCCACTGTCAAATGCCCCAATCCTGAAGAGGGGGAATCTGTGCTGGTACCTTTTGTTTTTAATTCGTCAGATTTCTCTGGGTGGGGGGAAAAAAAAACCACAAAACAATATGGGGAAGGGGACTGGGAGAGCCTGGGTTTCAGCTGTGTTGATGCAGTGGGAAGCCCATTGTGGGATCTCTCTGTCCTTGTGTTAGATATAAGCAGGAAGGCTGTGGATTATTTGCTCTTATTTTATATTTCTACATTTTTCACCCCCTGCTTCTCCCATCAGGAATTGTCCCTGAGGCTTGCAGAGAAAGAAAATGCTAGAGTAGTAGTGGCCACTGATCCAGATGCAGATAGACTGGCAGTGGCAGAACATCAGGAAAAGTAAGTAATGGGACCTTTGGTTTTTTTATCTTTCTCTCCTTTGTGGCTTAGCTATTGGGGTGCTTTTCCTCCTAGTTACATCTTTTGGCGTAGCTCCAACTTGTATCTTGAATAAAATCAGTTGATAACTAAAAGATTAGATTAAATACTTACTGGTGTAGATGTCCAGATAAAGCTCGACTGAAAACTGAGTGGTTACTAAAGGCAGTAAAATCTTGTTGTTACTGTGTTTTTTTGTTTTGTTTTTTTCATTTATATTGGGCAAACCTGCCTTGGCACAGTTGAGTGTTGTGGGCTTTTTGTCGGGGTGCGTGTGTTTGTTTGGGTTTTTTTGTTCTGTTTTGTGGTGGTTTTTTGTTTTTTTGTTTTTCCCTGCTTGTCCATATTGAATAGAAATTATTTTTCTTCCACGAACAGGCCCCAGTTCTGCCCGTTGTGTAAGTAAAGAGTTGTGCAGGCATTGCCTGACCGCAGTGTATCAATGGCATAGACTGCTCCCTGTGGGTCTGTTCTAGACTGCTCTGCTGCTGGGGGATAAATCCAGGAGAGCTGAGCTGTGTGAAGGCTCACAGTGAGGATATTCTGTGGCTCACGGAATCCTCTGGGCTTGTAAATCCTCGGGATGTGATGAGTGGTGGAGTCCTGTCGGTCCGGTGGCTTTGTCTAGAGCAGCTTTGTCGGTGGCGTTGCTCGGAATCCCTGTTGTCCCAGTGACTGCAGAAAGCCTCTCCCCCTGAGTGGGTGCTCCTGGGAAACCTGGGAGAGCTCTTGTGTCCTTTCCCTGCTCTCTGCAGTGGCTGCTGGAAGGTGTTCACTGGCAACGAGCTGGCGGCGCTGTTCGGCTGGTGGATGTTTTCGCGCTGGAAGGAGAACTGCCCCCAGGGTGCTGATGTGAGGGATGTTTACATGCTGGCCACCACAGTCTCCTCCAAAATCCTGAGAGCCATTGCTCAGAAGGAGGGATTTCACTTCGAGGTAAACCTGGGGTTTGGGATGTCTTGGCAGGGCAAGATCTGAGTGCCACGTTCCCTGTCTGAACCCCACCTGTGGTTTCATGACATGAAAAGTAAATGACTTCCAATCTTATTGCCTGGAATTTCGGTGCATTTCAACCTGCAGAGGGTGTTTTTACCCAGACAAGCCTGGCTTCATCCCCTGCAGCATCTTCAGTGTGTGTCACAGCAATTACAATCTGTGAGATCAACTTAAGCGAAGCTGCATTAGCAGGCAACACAGATTAACACCTAAATTACAGATAAATGGTTATTTTCCTACAGAGAAATTCTTCTGTGCGAGGATGAAAGCTTGTGCAGCCTGCTGTGTTCACTACAAAATGCTGATGGATTTCTAATAAGCATTTTGAGGTCACACAGTGTCCTCTCAGGTCCCAGTAGGTTTTTAAATTGGGATTTACTTCAAGTTGGTGGCAGACACAGGAACTCCTACGTTCGGATCTTTAATGTAGCTTCACTAAGAACTTGCTGAAAAAGAAAACGGGTACCCCCACAGGCTGACAGTTATTTTAGTTCCTGCATTCAAGGATTAAGTCTGATTTCTGAGGCTGTTGGATGTCTGCCAGAAGAGGAGCAAGTACCTTAGAGCTTAGCACAGGCATACAAAGGTCCAGGTCTTGTTTAATCCATGTCTTATTTAGAGCCACGTGCAATAGGAATAAATATTTTGGCAAGCAATGAGGAACTTAAGATTTGAAAGCAACTGTGAAAACCATTTTGAGTGGCTGACCAGGAAAGCTTAATCAGGTTGAATATCAGCTCCTTGCAGTGGATTTCCCCTTGGTCTCCTGTAAAAACTTCCCCTTTGTGTTTTCCTTCTCTCCAAGACTGTGTCAAAGCTTTTGATGGCTTTTGAATGATTTACCAAAAAAAAAAAAAAAAAAGGCAGTGTTTTTCCTTCCCATCACCTAAAATTGTTGCTTATATATTCCTGCAGCTTTTCCCTTCGAATAACTTTTTGTCTCATCTGATAAGCACCACAGAAGATCTGACCTCAGAGAACCACAGTCCCTCAAACAACATTTACTCCTTGATGTGATGCTCACGTCCCAGTGGAGCATGCCCTGGGAAAATGCTATCCAGCAACTCTTTGCCTTAAATTCATAACATAAACCCAAGTGATTACCTGTCTGCTGTTTCTTTGCTGTATCTATTCTTTTTTGTCAATTAATTAGATTTAAATTTAGGGAAATTATTTCAAGAAAATCGTAAAAATGTCTTTAAGCTTCAGTGTTTTGACTCTGCAGCAGGCTTTCCCATTGACCCTAAAATTCACAATACCTTGGGTTTTTTCCCCCTTTTGGGTGCTTTTTGAGTTTGAAGTGAAGGAATGGTGGCTTCACCTTCTTTGACTTAAAACTGAATTGAAAATGTTTGGTTTTTTTTTTTTAAAGCACTATATTTTTTTTCCCTGTTTTAGGAAACACTGCCTGGTTTCAAATGGATTGGAAGCAGAGTAAAAAACCTCCTGGATAATGGGAAAGAAGTTCTCTTTGCATTTGAAGAGTCTATTGGTAGGTTTTATATCCCTGTAAAATGTTGAGAACTGGGGAGGGGGAATGTGATTAGAAAGGACTGATCTTAATTATTGAAACAAATCACCCAAAAAGTACTTTAGGTTTGTCTTTGTAGTTACTGGTATTGATATTTTGCTCTCCTCAAACCAACTTGCCCTCTATAATGGCCAGTTCCTTACATGTGACCCTCTGATTCTGGTGTTGTGCTTTGGATGAAAAACAGCTTGTGGATGAGGAAAGGCCATCACCAAAATGGTATAAATATAATATATATCTTCTTAGTCTGTATAAAGTAGAATTAGAACAGAATCAGAAGAGCCCAGCACATCTTAGATCTGAGTATGCCTGGTTAGCACAAGTGTGTATTTGTTTAGCACTGCACTATGACAGAACTCCCCAGGGAGCAGATGTTATCAATCTGGAATTAATTGACTACAGCAGGGATCTTTCCAGCCCTGTAACCC